GGGGGCGAGGGGAGAAGGACACGCGCGCTTAGCGGGCCTGGGGGGGGGATTCGAACCGCGCCGACCTCCCCCACCCCGTCATCCTCCCGGGACACCGGGGTGGGAGGGATTCGAACCCGCGCCGACCTCCCCTCCCCTCCCCCCCGTCATCCTCCCCGGACACCGGGAACCCCCGGAACCCCCGGCCGGCTTGGAGACACGGGGGAAGGGTGATGCCTTCGCTAATTTAGAAGGTGTTTCCGGGACTTGTAAAGAATAGTTTTAACAGACCGCCCTGCGGGGCCCCCTCAGGTCTGTCAGGGCGTTGTCCAGATCTAGGAAAAACAACACAAGTGTCTGTGCGCACACACACACACACACACACACACACACACACACACACACACACACGGCACGCCCGGGATTTTACCAGACACACCCACAACCTCCCCAAGTGGCCAAGCTACAGACTTAGCCAGACGATGTCAAGAATAATTAATTACACGTCTTAGAATTGATTCTGCTATTGCTGTGTGGACTCTTCTAGAACAAGGAAAGTTTAAACAGGAGGGGGGGGTGAAGGAGAGAAGTAAGCTTGCTTTTACCCCCCCCATTCTAGAAGAATGAGCGAAAATGAAAAGTTTTAGCAGAAGGCCTCCCTCTCTAGACTTTTAACCTGGCCTCATAGTCTTTCTGTGTCTGTCTGTCCTTCCCCTCTCTAGCTCACTTGCAAGACCCCTCCCCCCCAGCTGTGTCTCTCCACTCTAAGCCTGTTGGCCTCTCATTTATTTACAAGATCACAAAAGACCACGGGGGGGGGGTGGAGAGGAAGATTCCAGAGACAGTTTGCATTCAAATGCACACCACAGCTCTTCTGGGCAGGAATTGTCCGTGTTCCTGGATCTCCCCGGGGAGCAAGAGGATTTTCTCCTTGTGAAGGGGAAGGGAATGGAGTGTAAGTACACCCACTGGGAGAGAAGCTGCTTAGAAAAGGCTGGAAAGGAGGCTGCAGGTGGGGGTCAGGGAGCGCGGGGGTGAGGAGCTCAGTCAGCTCTGGAAAGCTTCATTCTGCCTCCCCACCCCTTGAGGATGGCAGGAAGCCCGTGCTAGGCTGGGCGCTCTCATCTGTGGGTCCACACACATTCACCTTGTCTCTGGGATCTCAAGCTCAAGCTGGGATCTCAGCATCTTCGGTTAGAACAGCTTGGTGGGAGGGAGGGAAATGCTTTGTGAAGAGACACTGTCCTACGCATGTGTGTTTATCTGTATGGCATATACTATTTATATATGACGGGGGTATATTTAATCTACTTTCACACGAACAGGATACATTTTAATCCACACTGCCACTATGTGCTCTTCAGGGGTAGTGAAAAGGAAAACGTCCTTCAATGCTGCCCTTCAGTGATGAGTCTCCAGGAACCACAGCAGGGTTTGATTCATAGAAGAGACAGCAGGAATAGGTGTGGAATGAAAGAAGGCCTGGTTAATAAAGCTGGATCAGCAGAGGAGCTGTGGTTCAAGTGGTGGAGCACCAGATTTGAGCAAAAGACCCAAGCAAGAATGCAAAGCCCTGAGTTCAAACTAAACAAAAATACCACTGGCTCAGAATACCAGTAGCTACTCAGGAGACTATGATCTGAGAATCACTGTTGGTAACCGCCTGAGACTCTTATTATCAAATAACCACCAAAGAGCCAGAAGTGAAGCTATGGCTCAAGTGGTAGAAAACCAGCCAGAGTGAAAAAACTAAGGGACATGCTCAGACCCTGAGTTCAAGCTCTGGGACCAACACAAAAACCCAAAACCAACACCAAAAAGCTGGATTCCAGGCTTTGGCAATGTGTGTGTGTGTGTGTGTGTGTAAGTTTGCAGACAAACTGTAGAAAACTCCTGTATCTCCCCGATCCCCAGGGAGACAGTCAACTTCCATCCAAAGAAGCTCAGAGCTTCTTGCCCAGCAACTGTTCTGGACTTTCCAAACCTAGCTGCATGGTAAAATGCCAGGAAAAAAAATATATATACATACATACATATATATATATATATGTGTGTGTGTGCGTGTGTGTGTGTGTGTGTGTGTATATATATATATATATATATATATATATGACTAATGTGAGTCCTCCACCAGCTGGTATGCCTCTCAGCAAATATTCCTTAGTGTCCATTCCTTAGTGTCTAACAATCAAGTTTTAGATGAGTCAGGTTTGGAATACAGTACAGTTGTATATTTTATATTTTGTGTGTGTGTGTGTGTGTGTGTGTGTGTGTGTGTGTACTTGGTGGTACCTTGTGTATAACTGTGGAATGCATTTATACTTATTTTATAAATCTGTTTAAGGGGAGGGCGTGTTTCCCAGGTGTGGTAGAAATACAATGAGTTGGGAAGTTGGACATAAAATACATCATTCTGAGCATTATTCCCACTGCCTAGCCGAGCTCCATGCACCAGTTCCCTGGCTAACTCTGCAACCAGCTTTTTCCACGCAGGAATGAGGCATGCGCTCTGGAGGGGGACGCAGCAGTTCTCTTCAATGAAGTGTTTTACTCTGGACATTTCTTTGGAGCGCTATCACTGTTGTCTTTGTGTTTGTGCAGCGTACTCTCGGGCTCACAAATACCACTGTTCTTTCTGGGAAGAAGGAGCCTCTGAGAATATAGTGCTCTTAGACCAGAAGGTACTTACACACAGCTGCTTCCTGGTCTTTGTGCTAGATCTTCTACCTAGGTCACTGGATGGTAGGGAAGGCATGGGGGGAAATTCTTGGCATCTGATAAATTAGTTAATGCACATTCTTTGGGGATTTGGAGGTACAAACCAAACCAAACAAAGCAAAAAGGGGAAGAACCAGTAATGATTACAGTCAGTTAACCAGAGACTTGAGAGCCAGCCACACTCAGGAATCATGGCTATGCTCACAAGTTGCATAAGCCATGTCACTAAGCAAAAGCAGATGCTTTAGAGCAGGTCTGTGATCTCTGGGAAGTCCTAGGAAAGCCTTTCAGACTTGCCAAGATTCCTGCACTAGTCAGCAAGGCCCTCTGCTGTGAGATAGAAGGGAGATTTGTCCTGCATGCTGGGCAACCAGGCCAATGACCTCAGGAATGGAGAACTGGAGCCGTTGGCTGGTGGCTTTCCAAAAGGTGATCTTAGTGGCTGGCGGTCAGCAGCGGTCTGGTCTCCCCTTCTCCGCTCCTCCCCTCCCCTTCTCCTGTGGTTACAACACACAGGCAATCCCAAGGCTACTAATGTCCCCCTTTGAAGACAGTACTGGCCAGTGGTGGCTCAAGTCCATGGATCACAGAAGTGCTTCTGAGCAAGTATAGGGCCATAAAAGAAAAAGCTAGAGAGCACATTGCAAAGACAGGCAGTGTCTACCGGGGCAGGGCCTCAGAAGAACATGGCCCTGAATTGGGTGAGGGGCGAGTTGGGCTGGTGTTTGAAGAAATCCTCTCAACATGAGAGGCTAACATGGTGACACAGTGGTGAGAAAGTTCAAGCAATTATGGACACATGGGTAAGAGGAGGCCAGGATGGAAGGCAGGGCATTCTGATGACCTCTTGGAAGAAGGAGATTTCTAATATGACAAACCAGAGATGTGATTTTATAATGGCATCTCTGTGCTGTTATAATTATGATTTTTGAGAATTTTTTTTTCTTCCTTAGTATAAGTTTCTCTAAAGTTTTCGGACGGAGTACAAATACAGTTCAGGCCATTTACTCTCACGACTTTGAAATGAGAACTCACCAGTTCCATAAATGTGAACCATCATATTCAGGCATCAGCTACAATGTTCCTATTTGGAAACCTACATTCTCAAAGAAATTGTATCTCCTTTATTTATTCTCTGCAATGGAATGATTTTGTTTTTGCAAAACTACTATTGCTCGCAGGATCTGGATAATTTCTCTTTTGTAATTGTCTTCAGAAGGAGTAACAGTATTTCACAGGAAACAACTGTTGGCTACTGTGAGAAAGATTTGATTGTGGAAATAGAGAAATAAAAGCATCAAGTGCTGGTCTAGTGATCTCCTTGAGGGCTTTGATTTTGGCAAAAAACAAAAACAACCCAAACTAATCTATAAACCAAGGGAAGAGTTAGTGTCTGCGTGCAGCTACCACTTTGTCTCTGAAGCCTTCATAGCTAGGATGGCTACTCTCAAGGAGGAAATGAAGGCCGGGTTCGCTGCTGGTGCCATCCCACTGACACTGGTGCCCTTAACTCACTGAAAAACTGAGCACTTGGAAAGGATTCCTTTTCTCTCATGAGAACATCTCAAAAAGCTATAAGGACAACTTCCACACTGTAGATAACAATGAAGATCATCCTCAGTGCTCCCTCTTTGCCCAAGGTTGGGAGGGAGGGAGGAAAGAAAAGGAGGGAAGGAGGGGAGGGTAAGAGAGCAATGACTCAAGAGAGGGCAAAAGAGACTCATCCTTGCCTTTGAAACAGGAGGTACATTGTGTTCATTTTCCCAGTCTTCAAAGTCATTAGTGCAAATATGGCATGCTCTATATTTGCAATCTTGGATGTGGATTTGTCCTTTCTCTTTAGCCTCCTTTTAATAAAAATGCTATTAGACTCATCACCTATAACCACTCTCTTAATTATTTTATATGGGAACATTTCTGTAATTTCCCCATAGGA